TGGCCAGCGACAGCCGCTTTGATCATTGCCGAAGTTATTGGAAGTGGAGTCCTCGCTTTGGGAGGCCAAACAGCAGTTGTTGGCCTTGTACCTCCTTACAGAGCAAAAACGCATTATTGTTTTTATTTCGAATTTGCAGAAGAAGTTTGCAATGTAGGTGTGCAGAACCATTAATCATTAACCCCTTGGCTTGCCCAAACCTTAAACATTAAGCTTTTTTCAGATGCAGAAACTCATTGCGCTGTTGTACTGATCAAGGTCGTTGGTTTGTTGGCGCTTCTGCTGTTCTACCCAGCCAATGTTTTCACAGCCCTTCTTTTGGGCAAAGTGCGGCAAAAGTTGCCAGCAGCCTTGACCTTTGGGGATGCATTAACGATGGTGCTGGGTCCGAAAGCTGGCCGATATGGATACATGGTTTTGTACTTCTACCTGTTCATGTGTATGGCGAATTACTTGATTGTGTTGGGGCATTCTGTTCAAGCATCAATCTATTGGACATCGACGTGCCAGCCCTGGGCATGTTTCATCGGCACAATTCTGTTGTTGCCTCTGAACCAATTCCGCACCCTTAGTGGATTGACGCTGCTGAGCATGGTGTCCTTTGCAACTATTGTGACAACTCTGGCTTTGTGTCTATGGACCTTGCTCACGAATGCAAGTTGCCAACCTCAACAGCGTGAACCGGGTTTCCTCGACTACAACTCCTGCATCTCCGGCTTTGTATTTGCCTTTGCAGGCCAGCATATTATGCTTGAAATGCAGGCTGAGATGAAGAACCCGGAGCATTTCCCCAATGCTGTTTTCTTATCATATTCAGTATTGTTTCTTGTTTACACTCTGGTGGCAGTTCTCTCCTATTTGGCGTGTGGCAAGGATACACCTGGAGATCTTCTTTTAGTCTTGCCAACAGGTTGGTGGAAGTCTCTTGCAGGTGCGCTTATGGTTCTACACTTGATGGTCACCTACACCATATCACAGCAAGTCTTGAACAGAGCTATTTGTGTGTACCTACTTCCTGGGGCGCTTCAGGATGGTTTAGTGGCGCGATTCAAGTGGTTCCTGGTTACAAGTGCTGTGATGGCTGCCTGCTACACTTTGGCCAATGCCATTCCGCTCTTCCAGGAGTGGGGGCACTCGTTGTAATTTTGTATACTGTCTGCATTTGTATATGTATATAGTTACTTTTTGGTGTTTCGTATTTTGTTTTTCATTCTTTGTTCCCCGCATCTTTTTCCACAGGATGTTGTGAACCTATCGGGAGCTCTCCTCTCAACGCAATGCGTGTTCATTTTGTGCGGGCCCTAGCTCATGTGAATTCACATTCAACACGTGACGCAAGGCGGGCCAGCTTTGGAAAGATGTGGGAGGCTACTATAATACATATAAGGTAATCACAACAGGCAAGCTCTCTTGCGACCAACGGTTTTCCCTACTGGTTTACGGGCACTGCCTCGTTGGGCTCAACTCGGGTGCCAAACTGAACCAGAGATCACATGTGTCTGGAGGCTGCAAAGGCCACCAATAATGTGTCAAGATGGCTGATGGAGGTGGAAAGTTCCTGTTGTGGAGGAGGATTTGCAATAAGGTCTCTATGCCGTTTCTTGGAACATGTTTTGGGAGGTATGCGGGTAGTGGGTACTGCGGATGTGCTTACACAGGCGCCACAGACTTGGACCTGTTCTTTCTGGGAGCAGCTCGATTTTCTCAAAGTGACATGGCTAGAGCACCAAACTTTGTGATAGTGACTTTCTGTCTTCCTGCCTTACTGCCTCCCTCCCTCCCTCTCTCTCCATCCCAGATTATGATTGGAACCAAGTCTGTAGAGTCTATAGACAGACGATCAATAGCTTGGCAAAGGTTGGTCTCTGTTGTTGCTACTCCTTTTGTTTCTCCGTGCCTTGGATCATGGAACTTGATTCTGCAGGCCGGGAGTGCTGTTCCTGGCGCTCTGCTCTTTTGAGTTGGTTCAACGTGAAGGGCAAGTGGCTGTTTGGATTGGCTCGTGGTCTGCCATTTTAGTGGGATGCTAGGTAGCCAGCAGTTGGTTTTCTTGATTTCCTTAGGTCCTTGAGTTTTGTTGATTGGCATGCGGCTGAACATGCATTTGGAACCTGAGCTCCGCGGGCCCCAAAGGAGTCTATTTGATCATCATGGGCACACTGAGCAGTATCGTGGTCATTTCTGCCAAACTGTCTTCTGGGAGCAGCCGGCCCTTCTCATGCTAGGACCCAAAGAAGGTCCAGGTCAAGAGCAGAGGCCTAATCCAAACTGGCAAGATGCAACCGCGGTTTCACACGATTGCCACACACTGTCATGAAGTGAGGTTTCCTCGGCAGAGGAAGCATCATCGCCCTATGGAAAATGCTACTGTATGGCCTTGGTGGAGCATGTTGCATTCTGATCTTTGTCACCCCATGCTGGCCCACTTGCATCAGAACTATGAACAACTCACCATGAATCTGAATGTTTCACCCACTCAAACCACGCTTGACAGTAAGTTACTTCCTAGGCCCTAGGATGCAAGTTGGCGTACAGTATATAGATGATTGGTTGCATTTGGCACAAGCTAAAGCTGAGAATTGTTGCAATGTACTTTGATCCGGCAGAGGCCCTTTATCCGAAGTCTCCATTTCACATACTTTTTGTGGCTGGGGGCCATGACCAAGATGATATGCTGGGTAGCAAGCCGGAGATTTTCTCCCTGTCTTCATTGTACTTCTGCGACAGCTGCTCCAGAATAGTCTCCAGAAAGGACTTGTCTGAAGACGTAGATTCCTACTACTGCCCTCACTGCTTGGAGAATATGCCTTCAAGTGAGGCTATGCTATGTGGAATGCGATGCTCCAAGTGCTGGGAATGCCCAGTTTGTTGCAGCACATTGACGCCCTGCATTGCAAATCCCAGCTCGAAGGAACAAACATATCATTTTGCTTGCAGCTATTGCCGATGGAGCTCCAAAGGTAGACAGGAAGCAGAGAAGCCAGAACAACTTATCACTGAAATCGTTTCCTTAGAGCGGGAGAGCCAGCCCCGCCAGCGTATGATGGCTATGCTCGAAGCATTTCGAACTCTTGTTCTCAATTCATGTAAACTGGTTGTCATTTTTCAGTCTGCTTGAACCTAGGCCTTTTCAAACTCTTACTTTTCGCACTTGTTGTCACCCTGTTGGCTGCCTGTTAACCAAGGATCAAAGGCGCAAGAGCAGCAGCGAGAGAAGGAGCTAGCGCAGCGGTTGCGACGGCGCACATCTGCTCGAACCTCCTTCTCTGCTGCATCACTCACCGCATTTGCTGCCCGTCGCTTCAGCTCTGCTGCGACGATGCGGAGTGGGGCAAGGCTGCCAATGAGCGGGGTGAGTGGAGCGTTATCAACTGAGCTGAAGAAAGAGGGTGGTGAGAGTGGCCAGTGGAACGTTGAAGACCTGGAAACAAAACTACTTGAACAAGCGGCACGGAACTCTGACATCCGCTCAGATGCATATATGTCTCAACCTTCACCTGAACCTCCAGCATCACCAGAAGTGAAGGACAGCCCAAAGCGCTTTAGCTTTAGTGGGGCAGCTTCACAGGAGGTGCCTGTCCTAGCAGGACTCTCTGTTGAAGAGGTCTTGCGCTCACACCGTGAAGCTTTGCCCTCTGGACGCTGTTTGCTAGATGATTTGCAGAACAGTATTGAGGCGGGCGATGTGCAGGGTGCTTCGGCATCCCTCAGTATGCGATTGGCACAAGTCTCGTATGGTTATCATGGTGTTTCCGTGAATAGTGCTGCCAAAGCAGACCTGGTGAATGGCCTTCACAAAGGCCAGTCTCAACTCGAAACGCCTTTGCAACATCAAAATGCCTGGAAGCTTTTGCCCATTCGAAAGCCACTACTTACAAAGCGATCACGGCGGTGCAAGTTGAATTGCAAGCCTGGAATGGACAGTGGTGCGCAGGATGCCACAGCTGCAAAAACATGCAGGGGGCTGGTTGTAAAACCTCAAATCAACCCCTGTGCAAACCCGCCATTCCAGAAAAACAACGTTGCAGTCAATTTTGTTCCACGATGCTTGCCGTGGAGCTGTGTCGAACGCAATGGAACCTATGAGTTGGTTCTGATCCTGGCAAATCCGATGGAGAGTGACCTGGAGATTGACCTGAATCCATCTGCCTTTAATGCTACCCAAGAGTGTGCAGGTGACTGGCGTGAGCTTCTTTTGCAGCAGAACGTAGAGGTGTTGACTCCAGCTTTCACTACTACCATTCCAAAGTTCCTTGACATCACTGAAGCGACCGAGGTATTTGAGGAGGAGACCAAACAGTTGCGACAGAGGGATCGCGCTGATGTGACGACCAAGGATGTTATATTGGATCGCAAACTGAACAAGATCTTAGTGCGACTGCAGTTTCGCAAAGTCGAGACGGAGACGCAACAAGGTGGGACACCGGGTGGGCCAACTGGGCCGACTTCTTGGCCTTGGCGTTTCTTCATGCAAATGATCCTGAAGTTTAGTGTGAAATTTAGTGCAGACGAAAGTAAGGCGCACCAGGTCGAGGTTATTTTTTGCCTCAGGGCTGGTGATGCAGATCGAACAGCAGGGTAGCAAAAAGACATACGGCATCCTACTGTATACAATACTTTACTGCATACGCGACAGGAGGGTTACTTGTCGGCATGGGTGGAAAGACAGCGCAGCAAGTTTGGGCTTGCAAGTGGAATGCTTGCGGTTCAAGGAGAAATGTCGACCGTTGACCGTGGCCCCTCCCAATGACCAGGCTAAGGCACAAGACACGAGCAGATAAACAAAGTTCAAATGTGGCTCGGAGTATATAAACTAAACTAACATGCATTCTACAGCGTGCAAATTGCTTGCAGGTTAAACTTGCTCGGAATATTGGGAATGCAAGCTGTGGTGGAACTGCGCTGAATTGTGATGCTTGGTCCACTTCATGTCAATGTTGAACACTGCCGCACGGTCCACATGAATGCACCATGTAAAGTAGCTGTTTGCCCCTGGGTAGATGCCTAAGGTGACAACAGTGGCGCCGCGATGTTTGGAAGAAGCAACTCATGTAGTCCACTTGAAGGCAGAGTTGTTTGCAGCCAAACTAACAGGAAGTCCCAAGTTGAGTCGTGGCAGCTTCCTCCGCTCTTTGGCTAGGGCTTTGGCTGTGGCCGCTTCCCAGAAGATGGGCGTGGCTGTGAAGAGCTCAGTGTTAGTTTCTCAACTGTGACGTCCCACTGGTGTGAGGTCTTCATACTCATACTCATACTCTTGAGGATCTCGTTTTGTAGGTTGTGATCTTTGGCTGGTGGAGATGCTGGCAGCTGCTTGTGGTACCTCTGGTGTCATTGCTTGGGATGGCGATGAGTTCGGGGAGGACAGACATGGGTGTGAAATTATATATACATATAGATTTCGATTTCCTTGTGTGTGAAGTCAGGACAGCTTCACCCGCATTCTTGACAAGGCTGCGTGGGAATCCATCATGTCAAAGAACCGTGAAGCGCGTTATCAAGATCCCAGGCCTTGTCAAGCCGCTCCATTCCAGCTGTGGCCTTCTATTGGCGGAGCCTAAAGGACTCATTCCTCGAATCTTGGCAACCTCGAGCAGAAAGATACTCTGGCGGGCTTCATTTGGTGCTTCTTGAAGAGAACAAGACCTGTGGAAGTAACGCGGTTTGCAATGGACGGGGGCCCTGCAATCAGTTATTGTTTGGGCCAGTCCGTTGCGCTGGGTTCTTTTCAATTCAGGCCCACGGAGTGATGCAAGTTGGGTGCAACTTGGCATCGCTGCTTTGCGCTTCACCAGGGCAAAGCAAGTGTTGTCGCTGGGCGGTGGAGGCACGGCATTGAAAATGAGGGTGGTGCTAGTTGCTGGTGGTTGGTAGTTCGCCGTGGCTTTGATATTGTTTTGCACGCGCAAATTTTGACATAATTCTTTATTATTTTTTGTCCCTCTCTCTCTCTATAAGCATATACTTCTGATGCAAACGCACAAGACTTGCGAAATCACTACAACCAGCAGCCTATGGGCTTATTTGGCACTCAAACAGAATAGTTCTCACAGCTTGCCATTGGCAGGTGTTGTTGCCGAGGAGGCTGCTATTTGTGCTAAGGACGAGCAATTGAACCAGGTGCATTGGCGCCTCATTTTGCTTTCCAGGCAGGCCGCTCCAACCAAGACAGTGTGCTTTTGCTCGAGCTGTGCTGGCTTTGGCTGGCTTTTGATATTTTTGGCCCGATTGACCCGTTTGAGCAGAGGTCCGGCTCGACCATCCACGAAGTTGACTATGGTAGCTTATATGCACGTTTCCGTGCAGAGAAGTGGTCCAACTTTGAGTGCCTTGAGGCACAAGACGCCAGGACACTTGAAGATGACCTCCTTGCAGCAGGAAAATGCAGGGTTCCGCTGCACACCTCCAGCTATTCCTAATGATTCTAATGCCTGAGAACCCGACACGAGAAGGGACAGTAGGCCGTTGCACAACATGGCAGAACCCCATATACTCAACGTACATTTTGCTACGCTATGCTATGCTCTAGTTTTGTCTTAGACGGGCAACTTTATTATTGATCATAGGGCTGACGACCGCAGCATTGACTTGCGAGCTGTGCCTTTACCGAAAATGGGCCCATGGCGTCGACCCCGAGGATCAGTCATCGTGAGGTCCTGAGATCCTGATTTGCCCAGTCGTGGCTCCTTTTAGACAGTGCAGTGCAGTCCTGTTTTTCATGACAATTCTGACTTTATCCAATCGACAAAATTTGTAACAGTGACATTCAGGTTCCGGCCTTCTTGGTTTGGGTTGCTGCCAATAGGCTTTACTCTGGCTTTGCATTGCTTGCAAAGCCCAACTCATTTGGTCGGGAAAGTGTCGAGACAGGCAGGCCCTTGCAATCTGGGAGTTTTTAAGGAGCACTTGAAGAAAAGCAGCAGCAAAGCGATGCAAAGCACAGTGAACAGCACGTTGGACGCCACACATTCAGCGATGCCTGTCACTCAGCATGTTTGGAGGTCGCCCGCTCGGCCGCACAGCAACGCATGCATCATCAGCCAGAGCCATCGCTCAGAGACTTGAATGCATACATGGCATGCAAGCGCCCCATGCTGCTGCCTTTGCCGCTTGCAACATTGCACATTGCTTTTGCTGCACAGAGAGTGGGGGTTGCTGCACTGAGGGGAGGCAACCTTCTTGAAGGCAAGGCGAGAGTTCATCCTCAATCGCAGAATGATCCTTTGCCTCAGGCGAGCGCTTCGTTGTGCTGGCCTTGGGTGTTGGGATGCGTACGCAAAAGGCATGCTGAGAGAATGAACGATGTGAATGCCAAGGCAATGAATCGCTTCCGAGTCAAGGATGGCCTTGAGGAGCAATTTGAGCAGCGCTGGGGCAACGACCGCTCGATATCTAGCCACTCGGAACCGGTACTCTCATGATACTTCATATCATATATACATGGTTCAGCACAATTCTGCCCAACAAGAGGCCATGAATCTAAACCGAAGATCCGCGGGCAGCTGTCGGGCAGCTGTCCAGCGACATGAGTCTTTATCAATCCTGCAGGTTTGCAAGGCTTGCGTTGGTTCTGTCTGCTGCGGCGTGTGTCAAGCACACCCAAGTCCACAGGGGCGCTCAGTGCCTGGTCCTCAGAGGCATCAGGACCGGGTCAGAGTCGTATGGTGGCAACTTAAATGTTTGCAAAGGACATGCCCAGTCAGAGCTTCTTGAGGGGAGTGCAGCAGGGTGCAGGACATTAGAGTATGTCATCGACTAATACAAGTCATCTTAGCTAGAGAGAATTGCCCGCTTAGTTGCAACTTGGTGTTGCAGGAGGAGGAGTAGGAGTAGAACCCGCAGTTGTATAATCTTTATATATATATACATTTAAATGTGTGTGTTTTTTTAATAGTCAGTTCCACCCATCAGTGAGTGCGCATGCTGGCACGGGGAAGTCCAAGTTGTTCATAATTCATGGAACTTCAAGCGCTCATGGTGGCAGGCTACATATGCAGACTGGAATGAAGAAATAGCTGTGTAGCCGGTTGAACGGGTCTGCAGTTGACTTCACTTCCATTTGTCACAGCCCAGGTTGTGTTTGACTCTGATGATGAGCAATTCGAAGATGCAGCTCAGTTGCACGGATTGTCCATAGTCGGAGCGTGGGTGCACGGCCGTTTAGATGGGGTCACGTGCGCATATGGACGTGTTGGATGTATTGTGTACTTGATCAGCCCCACTTGTCCTTTTTGCCGCTGGCTTTTGGCTGCAAAAGGGTTGAATGATGTGTCCTTTGGCACACCCCTGTCTCAGGACTATACGTATGTGTCATTGGGCGTGTGGGAGAACCAGGAAGCATTCAGTGGTGCTGGTGGAATGTTGCAGGACGCTCTTTCCAAATGCACCCCATGTCGAACAGAATGTGGCGGACGGAGTCTTGCAGAGTAACGTGATTTGCTTTTTTCATGCAAGCATTTGGGTCGACAGTCTGCAGACTTCTTGCCAGGAAGCTGGTGAAGATAGCGCCAGCTTTGCAAGTATGGCACTTGTCTTAGGATGGAGGCTGGCATTCTCTTCCAGCACTCGCCAGCAAACTTACCATGCATGCTTATTAAGGTCGCTTCGGCCGATAACCGCCCGCACCATGTTGCTCGGTGAGGCAGAACAAGGAAAACAAGCGCTAATCCAGGATCAACAAAAGCAAGAACAGGATACAACAATAGGAACAGGATCATGCAAATAATCCTGAGTAGGTCCCCTAGTCCGTTGGTCCTTTGGTGCCCTGGTCCATTGGTCCCATCCCATGGTCCTTTGGCCTCGTGGTCCATTGGTCAAAAACACGAGGTTTGCGAAAACTAAAAGCTACTCGGTTGCCTTGGTCCGTGTGTCACTTTCTGAGTGCCCTTCATTGATGAGGCAATGGGTGTGTAGTCTTGGATGATGATCTTTTTTGATGTTCGTTCTGCGGAGGTGGCGCTGCACCCTCGACCCCAACCCCCCTCCAGCGCCGCGAAAATCGGCACTACTTTTGCCAGTGCACTGGGCCTGCCATGACAGACTTCTTAAGGGTCACCCATATCGGATATTGCTCTCACTCGCCTAAGTTTAAAGTACTAGTTTCATCTAGTGTCGAGTATGTGTTTCAAACATCCTTTCATTGTCCTTTGGTCGCCTGCCCTGCTGCTGTTGTCCTTTCCCTAGTTTCGTTTCCTTTCATTGCTCACTGAGAGTTCTTTTTTTTGAGATTCCTTTCTCTTTTCCGTGCGATCCCCGTCAAATATTTCTTAACCCAATGCTATTTTTGGCTACCCCACCCTTTTTCCATGTCCAGATGATTCGCAAACGAATGATCAGGACGCAATCGAAATTGCAAATTCATTGAGCTGTAGAAGTGATGGCACGATTTCACACACATATGGGTCAGATCTTATGCGAACAGTTCATCCCGAGGTTTAATGTCGATCATACATATTTGATAGTTTTGTGTATATATATATATACCATATATGCCTTACTATTATTTTTCGACCTTGATATTGTCGATCATACCTTGAAATTGCACTTTTTAAGTAACAATATTCAACAATGCCTGCAACCTTCCCTTTTATTCTTTGTTTTCACCCGCTGCATTGCATCACATTGTGGTGTAAACCCAGTGTACTGTATCGTCCTCATTTGAATGGACTCTACTTTTCAGCCACTTGAAATTGTACATTTTCAGGGGTCAAACTTATATCCAACGATCCCTGCATTTTCTATTATATATTGTCTGATCATGCATATTGTATGTACATATGTATAGATTGTATTCACTTTTTGTTCTCCTTCTCGCCCCCATCAAAACTGTACATATTTTCAGGTGGTCCAACTCTTATCCAAGAATGCTTGTTCATTTTGGTATTTCGTTTGTGGAGTTCTACTGCTTTTTAACATCCACCGCATTGTGCTATTCATCACCATCATGCTCATTGCATACTTTTGTTTTCTGTACTGCGGGTATCATTATTGCATCATTTGCATCACCAGATACTGGAAAGGCAAACAAACGACTGTTCACTCCTTCAAAAAAGATGCAATTTCTCACCAAAACCGTGCCATGTTCCAATACTTCCCCTCCAGGCACACCTCATGATGCCGGAAATGCAATTCGTTTTTTTCCAACGGAAAAGGCACCCCGAGCTCAAGCAACAGGAGCGATGTTAACGCGGCCCATTGCGACAACGCCTCATATTTTTTTGGTGCGGGTGGATGTGAGCACCACCGAATTGCACAATTCAAAAGTTTTGGTTCGTTGGCACTTGGCACTAACGGGTCTCCGAGGCCTTCAAAGGTGTTGTGACTACAAGCGGAGCACCAAAGCCCGCTCTGTGGGATGGAATGCTGTTAGAGAAAGCCAAGGCGCCAAATTGTGGGCTCTCAGTGCACCGGAGATATTTGAAATACCGTACCTTGGCCCTAGCCCAACAACGCGTCTGAAGCGTGTCCACCCAGATAGATTTGTTGGGAGGCCATGCAAAATAGCAAGGCTGCACCATTCATAGCAGCGCTCTCAGAAGTGCTGACTGAACTGAACGGTGCTTGAACGGCCTTGACATTCAGGTGATGAACCGCTTTGTTGTGAAAGCTGGTTCCGAAGTGGAATTCGAAGAACGCTGGGCCAATCGAGAAAGCAAACTCCTGGAGGCGATCGCCAACAAAACGCAGAACTATGTTTCGATACCTCATCGGTACGGACCAAGGCCGAGACAGGCAAATGTGCCGAAAATCCCGCTTCTCCTTGTCGGTTTGCCCGGATGAAGCCCGCTGCAGGCTGACGGTTTCCAATTCTTCCAGCTTCTTCGGAGAGTCAAGACTCCTGATGATGATGAGCCTGGGCGAGAACTGTCACAATTGTGTTCTTGTCCATGGAATAGTGCTTTTACAACTGCGCTGGACTCCGGACTAGTGCTAATGGCTGCTAATGTTACTTAAAACGGGCTTAAACCGTGTTGTCAGTGTAATTAGCACAGGTGAACTACATCAGCATGAGCGCCTGGGCTGATCGTGGCGCTTTTGATAAATGGTGGGAAGGCAAAAGCTTTGCCAACATGGCTCAAGCGCAGCCTGGCATGTCTTTCTCAAGCGATGCATCGGTTCTTAAGCTTAAACTGCAGAATGTTGGCAGAGGAAGATGTGCCAGGTTCAGGGGAACTTGTTGGAGGGCGTTACTTGGAGAAGTGCCGAGATGTTCAATCGTGTTTCAAGACTTGTAGCATCTCATAACTACTGTAATCACTTGTTCGATTGACTCTGTATTCAGTTCAGGCGCTTGAGAGAATGTGTATGTGAGAGACCTTCGTGACAAGAGTGGATATAGTAGGATGATATAGCTTGTGTTTTGCATTGTGTGTCCTGGATGAGCCGGTTGTGTGGCTAAGGAGATTGTACGGTACTTCTATGAGGGAGTGTTTCTTTGCCTCATTTTGCCTCTACATTGTACTGGGTAATTATCTGCATCATGATCGAGTTCATTTCGATGAATTATTGAAAAGTGCATCCCCATGTGGTAGTTATGTGTCACCCTTTGCGCGACACATCAGCACCCGCTCCAGTTGATAAGGTATAGCGCATGCAGAAGTAGGAGGGGACAAAAAAGCATGCCAGCCTTGGCTGATTTTGCTAGTGCGATCTCCAGGGGTTCAGAGAACAGCAGGCAAAACTGATTATGGAACCTTTTCGAAGCAGTGAGATGTTCGTGGATCAGAGCGTCATTGCTTCTGCCCCTTTTGGTAGACGGACCTTGTGTGTTTAGATGGAGCTGTTTTGCAAGTACAAAGGTTGGTTGTGGAGGGCGACAAGGGCCTTTGACAACTTTGACGTCAAGGAAGGCCATGGGGGTCTTGTTGCATTTCTTCGTTGCCCTGATTCAGTCTTGGGCCTGCCAGGCCTAGCAGAATTCTGCCCACAAGTTGTCTAAGCGCTTGGTTTCACCTGCTCATTCGTGGCCAGAGACATCGAAGATTGTGCATATTGTTTTTAAATTCAGCAAATTCAGCCTGGACTAGTGCAGGGCTCACATTTTTCACTCAGATCGTTTGTGTCAGTTATCTGCGCGGCAGAAAAGGGATGGCTTGCAAGGAGCACCTTGCAAAGTTTGGGGCTCGCTCAGTTCTGCAATTGTCCAAGCTAGCTCCAACATTCGTCAGCTCGACACATTCATTTGTGTCCGTACTGTAGCGTTGGCAGGCTGTCCATCTTCAATTAAAGCTGCATCCTTGCCCACTTGTTTGTGCTTGCGCGGACAAGTTCATCATCCTCATGAAACCCTTCCCTTCATGCCGGCCAACTCCGCTTGAACACCAACGCTGCAATGGAGCCATGGAGGTTTGCTCCCAATGCGTGGCGCATAGCAGCATAGCAATCATTCTCCGGCCTTCTAGACAAACTTGTGGCTTTGGGACCCAGGTGGGTGGACTCCAGTATGGAATAAGGTAGGCACCTCAGAGCCTCTCCGAAGCAGAGCAAGACACATTCCAAGCAAACTGAGTTTCCATGAGTTTCCATTTGTAGATCACCAGCACTGCCGCTGCAACTAGCTCAAGCATTGCTCGAGCTAATTTACGGCGGCCGAGCCAGATCAAGGGCTATAGCAGATGCCAAAGGATTTTCACGTAGCATACATTGTGCGTCATCTCTGAAACGTTTGGCATTCAATTCTATGTCTTGGTGCTAGTAACCAGCTCGATGCTCCAGTAGCAACTCAAGCTATGTCACTGGCTGCTTGCTACTTGGAAGCCTTGATTGACTTGCGAAGTGGTCAGCCAAATCTGTGATTTGTGCAAACTCGTGGTTTGCTTTTAACGCTGTACATGTAAGACTGGCACCTTGCCAACCTGCATGCCTTGATTTCTTTGAACAAGCTTAGTGTTTAACAGCGTAATCTTATCAGTATCAGGAAAGGCTGGTGTCCTTTGAGGTGCCTCCACACACACGCACACACACACTTGAGATTTTGTGTACGGAACTGAATGCGGTGCCACACGCC